CTATAGATCTCCATGGCTTTAGAAGTTTCTGTAACATTCGTTGCATATTAACCCTTAGCACTTGAGGTTGTTTTGTAATTTATCAGCAACTGCAACTAATTTTTATAGTATCCCTAGAAAATGAGAAATATAACATTTATTCGATCTTTTATTTTCCTTCTTAGTACAAAATTTGGATGTTTGGACAATCGAATAATTTTAGGGTAGTTTCTTTAAGATTCATTGAAATATTTAATATTTCTTGTTGTTTGCTTGTTTAGCAATGGTGCAAATATGTTTATCGATAAAGTAACATTTGTTTATTTCAATTATATGGAAGATGTATCGTTGAAAATAATTGTTACTTAAGTGTTTGCTCTAATGATTGCCTATAAATAGTCGAGTGTAACGGTTAAATTAAATTCTTTCTCTATAATTCTTGTAATAATTACACGGTAGAATTGATAAATTACTTGGAAATATTTCATTCGGTCCAACGAGCCTCTTATTTCATTATATTCCGATTGACTTTTCCATAGGGGAGCGAAGCGTTCTTCTGCCGATCGTAATTCCTTCACTTTGATCTACGAGAATGTAAAGTTTCTTTTATAAATGAATCAGTTAATAATTTCCAAGGGGGTTGTTACAAAATAGAAGATTCTACCGTGGTCTTTTAAGGTCATTTTAATCAAGCCTTTGCGATGGAGAAAAGATTAAAATCACTGGACCGGAAATCCTTTATATTTTAGTGCACCGAGAAGAATACAGGCTTCCATTCTTCCTCCGTTTAACGCAAGATTTTCAATTCTCGGCTCCCATTAAATCATTCCTCCAACCTGAAACCGCGCTCCATTAATACGCGAAATTACAATTACCGCGACGGGATTGTTTAAACGACGAGACAATTGTATTTCTTCCGATAACCTCATCTCTCGGTCCGCTTTCGTTTTCCATCTTGAACGGTCATCGTGGTTCCAGCGCCACTTGAATTTTTCCCTTTCGCACGGTTCGTTTATTAATTCGCCGTGAAAAATGAAAGGCAACGCACGCCCGACTACAATTAACCCATTTCACTGGAGAGGCGACCCTTAGTCACCACTCGGTTTGATGCGATAAATTGAATGGCGACTGCGAGACAGCTCCGCTCCAACGACAGAGATCCTTTTCGACTTCGAGTCGCTGCTTCACCGAGGCGAAAGCAACTTCACCTGCGAAGGACCAACCGGCTGAATAATTAAAAACATTTACACCGAGCTGCGAAGCTAACACAACTCCGGTTAGACGTTCACTTCGCTCGTTAGTGAAATTACATCCCCTCTACGATCGGCGTGCAATACAATTAACGCTGGATGCAAACAAAGAACGCTACGGGCAAACAAATACGTTAATCAACAAGTGAACATAATTCCATAGACGTCGATTCCATTGACACTAGATTCACAGACGTTTCTAGACTGTTCTATCGTTTCTAAAACTACTCTGTATAAATCGTGAAAATCGCAGCTTCGAAATCAGAGAATTTCCATGCTTATTCGCATTATATAATAATGTTTAAAAAATTCAATATCCGAATTCACGTGTTCCATGAATCTATCGTTAAATGTAATCGATCTCCGATGTCCTTGAAAGAGCGCAAGGTCACCGCAAGATATAATAATCAATGTTATCACCGACGAATACAAAGGACAGATAATAATAAGAACAAATGGAAGGACGGAACTTCTATCGCGTCTCCAGTTCACGAATCGCCCGGTACAGAAGCGTCGAGGATTTAATTAACCGAATCACGCGCGATCTCTTAAAATAACGCCGAGGGTAACCCGCCCCCTCGTCTTTTTCCAACGGCGACAGAGGGCTCGGAATCCTTAATGAAGATCGAAAGCACTCTAAACGAGACTCCGTCGAGTAAATGAGAGAAAGCCAATAAAAAGCAGCCGCCCTTTTTATCCCTCGGCCCCGTATCTTTCATTACTTTTGCGCTTTGATCAGCCGTTCCTTTGTTATGGCGTCTCGTCTTTCATCAACGGACACACGGGGGGGCAGGCGAGATGATGACCGCTCGGGGGCGGAGGGGAAACGTTACCGCACCTTAAGTAACTAGAACCAACGACGCCACGCGTCCCCGTGCTCTTATTTCCCTTCGATCGTTCTTCGACTCCTTGCCGTATAATAACGGGGGTGGCTCGCGCGCTGATGATTCTCGGATCGATTCAACCCCTCGCCGTCGAATGTCATTATAATTGACGACTTTAACCCTTAGCTGTTCTATTTTATTGCAACCTCTGGCAGTTTTAACAATTTTTTCTATATTTATTTGTAGTATCACAATTGTACCAACACGTTAAGCGTCATGAAAATCTTGGTTTCTCGTAGAGTTATTCTGATAATTATTAATTATCTCACGTTGCAATCATTGCAGTATTATTATCAACTTCGTTACGTTATTATATCTTCATTGGATATCGATTATCATGTTACGATTGTTTCCAAGTAACTCAGAAGTCATCGGTGACTGACATGGCGCTTAACTTGTCAAGTGAAAATTGTTTTGGCGAATATTTTGTTGATTCAAGAAGTTATTTTTAATATGACACCGGTGTTTTGTTATTGATATAGCAACTGTGATTCATTTTTGACACGATGACTATATTATTAGTAGCTTGTGTTCTCTTTGCAAATTATTCAGTAAAATTAGACGAGTTTGGTTGCAAAGAATCACACGCTGAAGGATTAATACTAGAACTAGACAAAACTAGTTAACATTCGTTAGAAAATCACATCTTGAATTTCATCTTTTGCAATTGTAAAAAGGTACAGATGCCTTTTGAAGAAGCTATTAAATTCATTGATTCAGATACAAGCAAATTGAAGCTTCGATCGGTGTATTGTTATAATTTTTATAAATAAAACAACAGTGAATTTCACTGTTCGCTGGCTCTAGTGTTAAGAGGAAGCTCCTTTCGTAGAACTTGAACTTTCCTACCGCGGAAACTCCTGTCCGCGGGCCGTGGGGAGAACGTCTGCCTGCCGTGTTCCACGATTGAGTTTCATTAACGAAAGTAGCCTAGGGATTTTTCAAGTTTAATTAGGTACCGCGGGGGTCGGATTCCTGCCTTAGCGGGCCGGACGAAAATTTATAATTGAATTTGCTCGCGCGAGGCTTCGGGGAGATCGGCTTTGGAAATTTCTCCGACGAGCGTGTTCTGTTTCCCTGCGAGCAGAATGTTCGCAAATTTTCTTTGGCGTATCCAAATTAGCCCTGTGATTAATACTCTCGATACTCGATCGATATTCTAGGAACTCTTCGTAAACGTTAAGAGAATATTTTACTTCGAAATTAACACTAGAACCATCTTACCGGTCAAAATTACTGTTTTTAACTTCCTCGTCGCAATCATTGATATCGAAATGATTTGAAATGATTTTGAAAATAATTTCACTTGAATACTGTAACGAATGTCCGAAGAAACTGGAAAGAATCTATTGTTACAATATTTATAGGGATTAACCCTTTGAACTCTGTAGGCTCCAATATTGCACCAGTTCAAATATTTTACCCAATCAAAGAAACTACCCTAAAACTATCAGATTTTCCACACATCCAAATTTTCTACTAACAAGGAAAATGAAAGATCGAAAAGATGTTATAGCATTTGTCATTTTCATTGGAATAAAAATTAGTTCCAGTTGCTGATAAATGACAAAACCATTGAGTACTAAGGGTTAAATATCAATCGGTAGTTCTAGTGTTAATGAAATTAATTCTCATTATACCGATTCTCCGATTCACCTCCTTCGGTTCATTGGAGACGTCAGAAGATATCGTCCGTGTATTTACTAGGAACAAAGAATAATCAGCAGAGTATAAAGGTATTTATCCGTGATAACGAAAGAGTGTATCGATCAACAGGCATTCCCGCTGCAACGGCGGTTATAAAAACATTTATTTCGATTCCTCGAGGCTCCTCGGAGCCGACAGGAAGCGTAAAGAATGAAACAGTAAGTAGAAAGGACGGTTCTTTCATCAAGCACTTTCACGTTTTCCAGATCGAAACGGAAGCCGCGGTGGGACAGGCCGTCGCGACGTCTACCAGTCGATTTGAAATTATCCTATTTCACGAGCCAGCTCTGCGATTTCATTTGTCTCGTTTCCAATAACCCGCCGCTACACGCCGAGCCAATTTTCCCTTCATTGGCCTCCCGGCGAGCAGTTTATAAAATTCCCCGTTCGTTACAATCGATGCGACAATAAATTGTCTCGGAAGTCGCGCGGATGGCTCTAGTGGCCGGGGGACATCTCGGTCCTCCGGTTTTTCCCGTGAATCGTAAATCATCGATGAGATCGCGGGACCGGAAGTCCGACTGAACGAGCAGACGACTCGATTAAGAAACACGCTCGCACCTTTCTGCCTTGCCCTGTTGTTTGTATTTCTTTATCTCCTTTCACGTGATCAGATTGTCGAAGCTTGAGCGTTCTTTTTACGCTAGACTTATTGGACGAGTCGCATTGGCTGATGTTGGATTTTATAAACATTATTTGGTAATTCTTTGCGTCGATTACTTTGAAACCTTTAATTGCCAAGGTCTAAATGAACGAGTATCAGTTTATAAGCAATGTAGTAAATCTAGTAAATCTAGTAAATCTAGTAAATCTAGTAAATTTAGTAAATCTAGTGTTAAGCACTTAGCGAATTATGAATGAATATAGAAAACTGAGAAAGATTGCAAATTAATCTACCGATTAATGTGATTAATATGTAATTTATAAAACTCGTGACAGTAGGAAAGTATTTCGGTTTGTTTATTGTAGTATTCAAGTGAAACTATTTATTTTTCGAGTCATCTAGAATATTCAAGACTTCCGAGATATCGGTAATTGTGAAACGAGGGAACCGAGACCCGCCATTTTGTCGGGCGCGGTAGTCCTAGCGTGAGAGTTCGGAGGTTTTATTAATAAGAATTCAATCGAGCAACGCGAAATACACAAGTCTATAATTGCTGTTGTTTTATTCTGATTGCAGAGTTGTTAATTAAGAATGCGCAATGACACGGCGAATTTATCAGTGGACCGGAAACCCGCGCGAGAAGGCGCAGGGTATGGAAATGGAACCCCCCAAAACAAATTCTCATCGACAGGAAAAAATATTCTTGAAGTGTAAGTACATCTGTGATTCCCGGCTTCCTTTGCTTCTTTGTGTCGAGTAGTTGTTTGATACCGGAGCTGGGTCACCATTTAATTCCCATATGAATTATTATATCTATAATATACACAACATACACAATTCCATAATTTATTTGAATGCTCTCAAAACAAGCTCCAAGCACTAGAACACAACCCTTTGCGGACGAGAATTTTTATATCTATTTACATATCAATATCTCGTTATCTAAATAATTAAACTATTCATCTGCAGCCTTCGAATTTAAATTTCAAAACTCGATGTCTATTAAGATAGCATTCAACCTCAAAGGGACAATGCAATTAAATAACTTAGATTATCATATACTATTATACACATAACAATTCATAAAATGACAAAAACAAAGCAATAAATATAAAGTAATAGTATCTATTCTCCAAACAAATGAAAACTCTCGCATCCACGCGTGACTACATACGCAAACAACACATTATATTCCAGAATGGGTCTGAAATGACCCAGCTCCACCTTGAATCAGACCAACAGGCAGTCCGCGCGTCGAAGCCCGCATCGATTCCCCTTTGCCCCGTGGTTTCATTAACTTCCCCGTGTTTAATGTCCCGGTGCCGTGTCAGGCGCCGCGTTTCGATCGCAGTGGCCCGTGTTTATCGGTGAATTTCGGTGAATTAATCCGCGCGGGCTTATCAAGAACGCGGCGCCCTACTTTTCAGCGAGCGAGCGAGCGGACGGCGCGGTTTATCCGTCGTCGATCGATCGCGGCGATGCTCGACGATCGATGGGCCGAAAAATTGCAACTCTCTTTCTTCCTTTCTCTTTCTCTTTCGTTTCGCTTCCTCCTCCGTCGACGTTCGAGCCGACTGTTCGCGTCTCGCCGGCACTCGATCACCGATGATCGATCGCCGGCGGGAGAGTCCGCGAATCGAACCTTTCGTCGCGCTGCGCTGGATTGTTTAATCGTCTGAGGAGGCCGGATTTCGACGTTTAATGTCGCGCGACCGAATATTTGACGACGACAACAGTGATGCATTGCGCTGATCTGCGCGGAATGTTTGCCCTCGATCCTAAGGGAGGCGTAGAACAGAATTCGGAATTCTTTGTTCTATGGAATGCGTTCTACTTGTGAGAGAAATTATCTCTAGAGAATTTGGTCTCGGTAGAAGACAAAGAAATGAAATAGTTTTCCATGGATTGTGAGGAAGGTAGCAGAATTCGAATTATTTTCATCTGATTTGTTTTGTTTGTGAGAGAAATTATCTGTAGAGAATTTGCTCTCGGTAGAAGACAAAAAAATGAAATAGTTTTCCATGGATTGTGAGGAAGGTAGCAGAATTTGGAATTCTTTCTCATCCAATGTGTTCTATTTGCCAGAAACTGTAATTAGAGACAAATTATCCGAAAGTCGTTCTTAACAGAAGACTAGGAACTAGTAAGAGGTTTTTCTCGCGAAGTTTGAAATAGAGGAAACTTGTTTCGAGGGATTCGACACTGACCTCAGCTTCTGATGGTCAATAACAGCAAGGAATAACGAATGTATTAGCGATCTCGTCAAATTTCTAGTTCTCATAGCTTTCCGAACGGCAGCTGCAATGGTGCAAAGGCATCGCTTTCGCAACCGTTTCGAGACATGTCCCAGAATAAACGTGGTAAATCACGAAGCCGCTATATTGGGCTTAATAACGCGCATGTGACCGTTTAAGCGATTTCTCGGAAACATCTCGAAGCGATCCCGGTTACTTAGTCTCGCGAAAATTCCGCGGGGAATGGCGCAACGGCTGATAGAGGCAACAGATCCCGGAGGATGCAAGCGATAACGACCGACGATGATTCCGATTAGGTTGACGCCGATTCAACGAACTTCGCGCGAGCTTCTCGCACGTGTAAATACCGTGGAGATGGGAATGGGCGGCGCTAAATTTAACAATCGCGCGGCGTTGGGCAAACGTATAATTAGTGACGCAAATGAGGGGCACGAGTGTTTTCTCGGAAGGTTTTCATTGGCTGGCTGACTCAGGGGAAATGCACTGTCTTATGCAGATATATCGTAAGTTTCAGACAGTGGGTCAGTGTTCGAAGGGTCACAAAAGAGAAAGCGACTCATGCAGACCATGCTCAAGGGTTGGTCAACTTTTTCCGAAGGATACGTAAGCGAGGATGATGAGTGCGTGGTGAGAGGGTGTGTTTGAGAATTTGCTGGAAATGTGAGTAAGAATGCTTGTGGGGGAGAGAATGGTTTTTAACACGTTGAATGTCACGGAGGTCAACGGTGACCCCCAACCAAATCGAATTAATGTAGTTCATTTCAATAACGACGATCATTTGACATTTCTCTATTGTAAACAATGCTTCCGAACGCGGTACATCGAGCAAGCTCAGCGTATAATAATAACGCGATTCAATCGAATGATTTAAGATTATATTTTTTCCATTTTGTGTATTTCGCTCTATGAAGTCGTGCGGCGTTCAACGTGTTAACACTAGAACTACCGATCATTTAATACGACTAATATGTCATCCCTATAAAAATTGTAATAATTGATTATTATCAATTTCTTCAGACATTCATTATAGCATTCAAGCGAGACTATTTACTTTCAAGATCATTTCGAATATTCAATGCTTTTAAGATATCAATAATTACGAAATAAAAACGTTGAAATCAGTCATTTTGACTGGTACAGTTCTAGTGTTAACACGTCGAGTGCCACGAGAATTTTTTCGTGTAACGTCACTTATTCTTTAACAAAGAATGAGAGTTAATTAGTTGATTTGGTATTATAGCTTTCAAATCAAGTGTTAATTGATAGCGAGAGTTTTTAGAGAGTTGCGTTGACTTGAGAAGAGAAAAGACCTGTACACTGCGAGCTACATCGTTTCTATTTATATTTTATTCAATTATCTACTCCTGTGTTTTTTTAAATAAAACATATTTAAAATACCATTAACCCCTTGCCCTACAACGAGTGAGACTCGTGGTGAAGATTTTCAACATGATTCAACAAATATATATATATATATTAGTCAGTGCATTCGAATTCGAAAGTAAATATTATTCCTCTATAATCAACTATTATACTTGAAAGGAAACATAGGCATAACATATGCTTGGAATTTTTCTCTTTTTCCAATAAATTATTAACGACAAAGTAGCCGTGTCGATCAGAGTTGAGAAAGAGATCGTAGTCCAAGGGGTTAATGCCACACAGATGACCGTCGTTTCTTCTTAGAAGCTAATTTTGTTTCATCTTGTGGGTACATTGGATTAGCGTTGAATATACAGTGTGAGGCACTTATCTCGATCTCAAATAATTAACGGTAGTTTACGAAGACGTTGAAACGTGGGATTTAAATGACATCGGAGAGCATCTTATGAGTGTGCTTTTTTCATGAGGGGAGGCGTTGCAGAGATTTCAATATCATCTTGATTTTTTTTAATGGAATGACCTACTTTTTTTACCATAGATCGATATAGTATCGAATTCTGAGTAAAGTGTTGGTCTTCATACGTCCTAATCCTGATGTTAATGAGATATTAGCAACAGTTTGAGCCACGTGGAGTTTTGTTAATGGTAATGGAACGGTATTGAACTATGGAAATTGTAAGTTACATCACAAAGTAAGAATACGTAACATGCTGATGAAAGTACATAAAATACTTTTTCGGGGTGTTTCGTGAAAACAAAAGTGTTTATTTGTTTATCAGCACGTTACGTATTCTTACTTTGTGGTGTAACCTACAATTTCCATAGTTCAATACCGTTTCATTGCCGCGGGAGACGTACTGTCGAAGGAAAACAGTTTAAAATGAAATATAGCAACAGTGACAAGGTTTTAGTTTACGTAACTAGGATTCGTAACAAAACTATTACGAAAGAGGCTAATTATCTCGTTATTTCTTTGCCTCAATGTTGGTAATTGGTCTGTCATCAATCTCTATTAGCCAATTACTCTGTTACAATGTTATTTTTATTGAGCATTAGTATCAGTACTTAATCAGACCTACTCGACCAATAACAAATACTTAAATAGTGTCTAGAATTGAACTAGCATTTCTACATTCAACGAACTTCGACTCAAGATCGAGCGCTTCGCTCTTCCACGATTTCCTAAAGACAAAGTACCTAGAGAACATCAAGCAATTCAACTAACTTTACGATTCAATTTCTATTTTAACGAACCAAAGAAATCTCCAGGCAATTCAAACAACACCTACCAACGGAAACTTCCACATTCGAGGAACTTCGACTTCGTTCTTTTACAAGGTCCTAAGGGCGGACGAGGCGCAGGGAGGGTTGAATTAATTCCCGAACACGGGTGTAATCCGTGCAGCTGGCAGCCTCGTATCCCCCGTATAAAACGTCGATCGTAGATTTGTCGCAGGAGTTCCGAACAGCAATTACGACGCTAATGGAGCCCCCGCGGGACAGGATCCCCGCCGACTTCCGTCGCAGTCGCGCTCCTCTCGCAGATTCCTTTGTCCTTCACGCGCCACCGGCGACGGCGACGATCCGCGCACGGTTCACGCGTTCGCCGGCGATCGGCGGACCGGCGATTTACGGAGTGTTCCGCGGTGATTTATGACGCGCCGCCTCGGATCCCCGCGGCCGAGATCGTTTATTACCGCCGCGGAATAATGGCCGATCGATTATCCATAGGAGATCGACCATCGGGAGATTCCAGCCGGATGAAAGGACCCTGCGAGCCTTCTCCCACGATTTTTGATCTCTGCGAATCCTCTGATTTACACAGAGTGTCCCTGCTGGAGGACACTTGGATGTATGCTTTCTACCTCGCGGAGAAGCTTTATGCTGATGGTAGAAATTTTTGTTGATTTTAAATGGAATAAGAAATATTCTTTTTGTGGCAGAGGTTTTGTAGTAATCTTGAAGTGAATGGAAAATGTGCTTGATAAGCTTCGAAATTTAAATTTAAGATTTTTCGTAACTTGAGGGATAATGGTTAGGTAGCTTTAGTTGGGATACTGCGCAGGTGAATATGTATTAGTTGATTTTATTGGAGGACACTTGAATATATGCTTTTTACCTCGCGGAGAAGCTTTGTACGGATGGTAGAAATTTTTGTTGATTTTAAATGGAATTAGAAATATTCTTTTTGTGGCAGAGGTTTTGTAGTAATTCTGGAGTGATTGGAAAATGTGTTTGATTAGCTTCGAAGTTTAAATTGATGATTTTTCGTAACTTGAGGGATGTTAGGTGGTTTACTTTAGTTGGGATACTGCGCAGGTGAATATGTATTGGTTGGTTTTATTGGTCGAGATGTTTTTAGGTCGCGATGTTCTTCTGATACGAATTTTTCAATTAGTAAGGGGATACGTGGGATCTGATTGCTTTCGGTGATCTGTATTGGGATCGTGGACGTTTTCTTGTTGCGTTCGCAATATTACATCTTTTAATTGGAAACTGTAGAATCGCTGGGAGATGGAAGAGGTTTTGATGGTATTGCAGCTTGCGTGTCGAATTTCGGGGAAATGAAACTTCGAGTTCCGATGTTTTTGAATGCGGCTGGGATTGGATTGTGGGGGCTGGTGAGTGTAAGTGAATTGATGACTCGTGTTTTGGTCGGTTTGAAAAATAGTAAGAATAAAGGATAGGGTGGAACGCAAAAATAGTACGTGAAACGTGTTCCACGCACAGCCGCATCCTATCTGGCACGTACTCAATCTGGCACAGTCAAATCCGGTCACACCATTCAAAGGGTTAATCGAACGAACCTGCGTCGATATTTGTGTCTTCTATTTTCATCTGTTTCTGCAACCATCGCTTTCCGCTGGTGTTATTGTTGTTACTAGCAATTTCTTTTTATTACTCTGTACCTATATAAATTTACATACGTAGATTTTATTTGAATTTCCACTGTTGTAAATTATCGTTGCTTGATATTCATCTATATGATTTTCATCCCTTCCAAATGTTATAATCATTATCATTATAAATTCCTTAATATTAATCTATACAAGTAGATCAATTTACATACATAGATTACTCTTCATTCTCTATTGCTATTATTATCATTACTATAAATTCCTTGATACTGATCTATATAGTTATATCAATTTTCATATGTAGATATCTCTTCAATTTCTATTGCTATTATTATCATTACTATAAATTCCTTGATATTGATCAATATAGTTATATCAATTTTCATATGTAGATTTCTCTTCAATTTCTATTCCTATCATCATCATCATCACAAAGTTTCTTTCATCTATCTATATACCAATCCACAACATAAATTTCACTTAATTCCTATTGTTACACTCATCACAACAACTCATCAGCTTGCACATTAATGTCTATCCATAATTTAGATTCCAGGGTTCAAATAAAATTACCCAACTGCCCTTATCTATAAGGGCGTACTCCACGCACTTTCGCGGAATAAGAACGGGTTAAACCCACTTCTAATTTTAATTTCTTATCAAATACGATCTCGCGATTGCGATATTATTATCATTCCCCCCCTCACTCGTCGAGACTGCTTATCTCCGAGCACAACAAACAATCGCTCGATAGTCGGCTCCGCGATCCGACGAGAATTTCCGTGACTCCCGATTTCAAAATTCTGCCCGTCGATTTCGTAAGACGAGAAATCGTTATCGAGGCACGACGTAGTTGTATAAATAAACCAGCCTCGTTAAATCCGCGAATTTACTCGTGCAACGCCTCTGCCAATGATTTCTGTCGGATTGATTTTAATGATCCAGCGACGCGCGAGAGAAAGGAGAGAAAGGAAGAGAATGGAGAGAAATTCGGATGATTTCTGGCTGATCGTACTCGTGCTCTCGCTTCAGAAAAACTCTCGATAATTTCAGAATATTTTGAGAATTTTTATGGACGTAATCGAAGATCAATGTTTCGACAGATATTCTTGTTGGAGCTGAAGCGTTAATAATGTTCATTGTTCTGTGTAACACGTAAAATACGAAGCTGTGCATTTAAAAACTTGGGGATTAGTATTCATTTCTCTTGAAATGAATGTTTTCTAATTATAATTTAATAGTAGAGTTTATCATTCATTAACACTAAAACTTGAATGATTTAATATTGTACTTTTTCCATTTTGTGTATTTTGCTCTATGAAATCGTGCGGCGTTCAGCGTGTTAAAGAAACATGGCTTCTCTTTTCCATTTGTCGATATTTGTTCGTTTAATTGATACATTCGATTACGTCCATTTGGATGCCTGAAATGCGCAACGCGAAGTAAGGTGAGAAGGGTTTAATCTATATCTTTAAGGCACCCCTCGACGTATACGAAAGTATTGTTCCAGGATGTTCTGTGTACGGTACCATCTATATTTTATTTCAGACACGCTCCAAGACGCGGAGAAGGATAAAGAGGAAACTGAGTATATGCTACAAGAGAATGGCAAACCGATGTACGAATAAGATTCTTACAGATCAATGTGAAATAGAGATATATAAGAATGAACAGGGAATGCAAACCGAGTGCGAAATCAGGATTCTTGTAGGAAATATATGGGAATTAGAGAATAAATCTTCGTCCTAGGGAGCGGATCAATCGTATAAACTTATGATACAAGATTCTTCATTTTGTCAAATGTGTAGAGTGTATATGAACTGGGGACTCAAATAGGTAGTAAGTTATTCTATATGCTAAATAATGACATCGAGCTACTGACCTCCAGCATTGGTATCTGCGAGCAGTAGTCGTAGTAAGTCATGATCAGACACGGTAGTGATACGTGCATATATCTGAGAAGTTTGAAGGTAACAGTGTTTTGATGAAACTTCAAGTAATAAAAGAGTATTGTATTTCTGTGAATTATTTTTGCATATAGAATAGCTTCAAATAAACCCATTCTGATACATTCTATATGTTTCCTTGGGAGCACTTCTATATGGGTTCGTGATTCAATAGAGTTTTTGTTCATGATTCATATTACACACCTCTGATTTCTAAATATTCTAAGTATAAACATTTGAACATTAGAAATTTCGATTGTTCGAAGAATCAGAGATTACGAATTTCAATAGTACAAAAATTGAAACATTAAACACTTCAATAGTACAATGCTTCAAACATTAAACGTCTCAACAGTACAATGCTTCAAACACTAACACAAACATTACAGAACTTAATCTATCAAACTCAAAACTCCAACACCACAAACATTCGAATACTCAAACAAACATCACAGAACTTAATCCATCAAACTCTCGAAACTCCAACACCACAAACATTCGAACTCTAAAACAAACATCACAGAACTTAATCTATCAAACTCAAAACTCCAACACAAACATTCGAACACTCAAACATCACAAAATTTAATCTATCAAACTCTCAAAACTCCGACACAAACATTCAAACACTACAAATCCCAATTTCTCAGTCTTTAAAAACCCAGAAGTGCTCCGAGACAAAGCCCAAGATTTCTCCATAGATCTTTCCGCTCGGAACTGAGATTCGCGAACAGGAACGGAACGTTCCCAGCAACGAACGTTCGAGCAACATTGATCGAGCCCACGAAATTGTTTGTGTCCACAGTGAGTTCGTGCCACCGCAAACGAAGGAGGACGACAAACCGGCCGCGCCGGAGCAAACGTTGCCACCAGTGCCTTACTTCAAACTCGTAAGTCGTTTTCCGCGATCGGCGGCCATGTTCCCGCGTTCCCGTTCGCGGCACGAGGTTCCGCGTGACCGAGCGAGTCCCTTTGTCTTCGACAGACCCGCCGTAGCTCGTTCTCCGCGCGGATCGATCGAGGCCTGTTTTTGTTTCGGGGCCGGTCGGATCGGCGGCCATTAATCACCGGCCGGGTCGACATTAATTTCCCAGGTTAAATCTCCCGGAAAAGCGGAAGTACGCCCCCACTAAATCATCCGAGAATATGTTTCTGAAATTTTCGACTAGTTCGCGACAAATTACCGGGGGATCTCGCGGAATTCCTTGCCGGGGAGGAACGTATCGTTGGAATAATTAGCGCGGCGTCGATCCCGCGGCGCGATTAATTAACCCGTCAAACGGGAAAATGAGTTTAGTCTTTGACGTTGCTTCGCGTTGGGGTGCGAGGGTTTCTGGCGGAATTCGATGGTTTTGGATGACTGTTTAACTTGGAACAGTTTTTAATGCCACGGCCTTTCGTGACTGTTAGTTGAAATTTAACCCTTTGCACTCGAGAATATTTGTCTCAGTAAACATTCATTGCTTTCTGACGAAATGTCAATGATATTTTTCGCATATTTAAAGAAATACCTTGCGTAAATTCAGTGGCAGAACTATTTCATTTCTACGTTCCATGTGTTCGTACATTATATAAAATTTAATATCGAATTATCAATTTCACAATGTTCTCGGGTCAAATCAAATGGCGCCTCTCGAGTGCAAAGGGTTAAATTAGTTTTGTTAGTTTACTTTGAACGATTTTTAAGTGAAATCTCTTATTGGAACTATTAGATAGAACGACTGTTTAACTTGGAACAGGAGTTTTTAATACGACGGTCTTTCGTGATAGTTGAAATTGAAATTAGTTTTGTTAGTTTACTTTGAATGATTTTTACGTGAAATCTCATATTGTTCCTGATTTCTTATGTATTTGTTGGAGATGCGATAGCTTTGATGGGAATTCTTAAGTCAAAGTGAAGTAAAAGTTTCCACGGGGAATGAGAACCGATCGATTCGACTGATAATTCGAACGTTGAAGCAACGTCATATGTGTTAACGCCGTTATTCCCGACGAATTAATCGCGACTGTCAGATGTTACTCGAGCAAATCACTCGGTTGTTCGCAGTTTCGATTTGCAACATGCGGGGAGCTGATGCTGATCGTCGGTGGCCTGATCATGGGAACCCTGACAGGCCTCTGCATCCCCGTCTCGACGATCCAGTACGGTGAATTCACCACTCTGCTAGTAGATCGTAACATGGAGAATATCACTAGTACACCAACCCTTATTATGAAGTGGTTCGGAGGAGGAAAGGTCTTGTAAGTCTTTTTATCATGCACAACTGCATCTACTGTGTTCAATAATAATAAAAAATATTGATAAACATAACATTCTTAACACATTGCATACTGGTAACGAGAAATCTCGTTTTTATATAAAGACACTTAGCACGCAACTTTGCTAATTGCAGCATTGAAGGAAATATTAAATTTGATAATCGATTATTCATTTCAAATATATTACATAACAATATATCTGAGTTTTCGTACCTATTTATAGTAAAATCTATCAATTTTCTGAAAATTAGCTGGTAGGCAATGTGTTAAGTGATAAAATTCTCAATAATTTCACAGACAGATCGATCGAATCTTTTCCCAATAATCAATTACTTAGCTTGTTCGATGATATTAAAGGCAGTAGTTTTAAGTGAATTCAGGATGTACGATGACTATAAACGATGACGATTGCAGGGGACCGAACTCCACCTACGAGGAACGAATGACTGCACTTTATGACGACTCGGTAGCGTTCGGCGTGTCCTCGGCGGCGCTGTCCTGCCTTCAATTCGTCTTCGCCGTGTTCACCGTAGATTTCCTGAACGTCGCGGCTTCCAGGCAGATTGTCAGGGTGAGGCAAATGTTCTTGCGCTCCGTTCTCAGACAGGACATGACATGGTACGACATCAACACGTCGACTAACTTCGCCAGCAGGATTACCGAGTGAGTATTAATTCACGGAGGGCTAGGTTGGACGACCTGGTAAACATTTGTTGAGTGGAAGTTCACTTAGAATAAGCTGAACGCTGTGAATAGAGGATGTCACTTTGATATATTAATGATAGTTGTACCGAGTACTCTTGGAACTTAGGGAGAATAGTCTTCCTTTTGGAAATCGTATAGATATGTCTAGTTAATACTGGAACTACTGAGTAGTTAAATCGACTTTTAGTGTTCTGGTGATTTAGTATTCTCGTATCCTAGTGCTCCAGTGTCCTAGTGGCCTAGTGTTTTAGTGGCTTAGTAGTCTAGTGCCCTAGTAAACTAGTAGTCTATCATTCTAGTGTCCTAGTGTCTTAGTATTCTAGTGTCCTGGAACCCTAGTGCCCTAGTAAATTGGTAGCCTAGCATCCTAGTGTTCTAATTTATGCCCTGGTATCTTAGTTTCCTAGTATTCTAGCGCCCTAGTATTCTAGTGCCCTAGTATTCTAGCTCCCTAGTATTTTAGCGCCCTAGTATTCTAGCGCCCTAGTATTCTAGTTCCCTAGTATTCTAGTGCCTTAGTATTCTAGCGCCATAGTATTCTAGCTCCCTAGTATTTTAGCGCCCTAGTATTCTAGCGCCCTAGTATTTTAGCGCCCTAGTATTCTAGCGCCCTATTATTCTAGTTCCCTAGTATTCTAGTGCCCTAGAATTCTAGCATCTTAGTATTCTAGTTCCCTAGTATTTTAGTGCCCTAGAATTCTAGCGCCCTAGAATTCTAGCATCTTAGTATTCTAGTTCCCTAGTATTTTAGTGCCCTAGAATTCTAGCGCCCTAGTATTCTAGTGCCCTACTATTCTAGTGCCCTAGTATCTTAGTATCCTATTATGCTGGTGTTCTTAGTATCCCAGTATCCCAGTATCCCAGTATATAATACTCTGATATTCTCTTATTCTACTATCATAACATTCTATTATTACTAAATCAATCCCTATAACTCAGAGAAGCATTCCCTTTTCAATAATCCTGAACGCACAATTCAGGTACATTCGACTGATTCGGTAGCTCTACCATTAACACTCTCGCGACAAGATCACCGACAGCCGAAGTGTCAGGTAGCCACATTTTGTCAGGTTGATCCTCTTCAAGAGGAGTATCGTGTGTTCAATCGCGAAGTCTGGCGAATGTAAACGCGCGGGGCCAGGGACCCGAGTAGCGGCGGGCAAAGTTCAGGAAACGGGATCCGCTCAACAGGTGGCCGCTCGCGAGCCACGTCCTCCTCGGCCCGATACAATGTCTCTCCTCCCGCGGCTGCGTCGCTGCCGCGTAATTATCGAAAAGTCAAGACACCGGATTCATAACCGGCTAATTAAGACGCGGCTGGGAACGTGCCACTTACATAACACGTTTATTCCGAGAGCCAACCGTTCTACAATGTATCTAACTGTTGCGCAAGGGTTAATAAATCCTAATTGCGAAACGACGATGAGAATTGAAGGGTCATCCGCGTGATGACTCGATACGTTTAAACGGTGGATCGATGATACTCGCAACTAGACGAGAGATTATAGTTAAAGAATGATCTTCTGGAATGAGAATGAAACAAGGTTCTATAGAATCTTAGTACAGTTCGTAATTTTTCAAACGTGGAAATCTATCGTGAACAGGTATATAATTACATTATTAACGATTAATACTGAGATTTTCAAGTTCCAAATGACCCATTTCGGATCTCTTCCAAGATCCTATTCAGGTTTTCATGAGATTAGAAATAAAATGAAATAAAAAGAATTCTTAGAGTTTACTGTTCTGTTGTCAGTGATAACTCATTGTTATCGACTGTCTCTCCGTGCCGCGACGAGCGTGTAGAGGCAGCGTGGCCCGCGCCACCTTCGATCATCGCGAAGACCATAAAGCCAGCCGTAAATAGCATTGCGGAATATGTGTATCGCGTTGCTTGAAAGATCGCCTGGCATTAGGAACGCTTTGGCTCGGCACCGGCGGCCCGCGTTCATTTATAATGGCAATTACGTAAATTTTACTTGCGCCACCGCGGGCCACGGCAAAGTTTTATGAACCTGCGGCAACCGGAGCCTCGTTACACGCGTTAATGAACGTAACCGTGGGAGCAGCGATTGTTTAATCCAATTTCGATCGTCGCGTAATCGTTGGCCGCAGATGCGACGGAATGTTGTCGTTTGCCGCGCCGTTTTTATTGGATGTCAATGGAAGAAGCGAAGTTCAATAATTCGATTGACAGCTCAATCATACGATTCTTAATAAAGTCAAAGGTTTCTTCTGTAGACTAGCGATAATTTCCTTTATGCTCACCTATGGATCATTTCGTTATGCAACACGTCATTGTAACAGAATTTCGACGTTGTCACCTTGTTCCTCGATAGTAAAACTAATTCAATTAGTAATTACTTTACTAATTAATCTTTCATAATTATAAATAATAATTGTACGATTACCTTACATAATCTTAAAGAACAGAACATTAACCTTTTAAATCATATTATTCTAAACTATCAACTATCAAATATCAACATAAACTATCAACGAATGCAATGATTATAAAATAATTCCTCAGTACTCTCATTGACAATTTCGATCACCATAATTTCCCAGATGTCTATTTAATCCACCTATCAACCGACGTTCACAACAGTCCTAATTAAACGGCTCCGCAAAATCACCGAATAAATTCGTCGATTCGCAAACGCCGAGTGCGACACTGTGATTTTACGTTCGCGTTATCGGCCCGATAAGGGCAATAGTTTGTTAGTGCAAATAGTGTTTCCGCTCGACGCGCGCGTTGATTTAGCTCGTCATTATGCAACGGTAATCAACGGAAGACGAGAGCGGGACGGCTCTCCATCGAAGCTAAATCGAACGGCAACATCGAATTTCGGCTTCGGGGATCAAACACGGTTTCTAATTCGAGGAGCGCGTCGCGTGATTTCAAGGTGACCCGAGCGCGGCCCAGAAGATAACGGCGAACGTTAATTAATCCGCTGAATGGCTGCCCTCGGGCCGCGTTATTTTCGTCCGCGGCAACTTTCGATAGAACTGGCGTGGAACTTATATGAACGGTTCTAATTGCGTCCGTGGACGTTATATGAAGTGGCAGAAGGTCTGAACGAGGCCTCGGCGATTTTATATGTGCCGAGAAAAAATGGAACTGTCTGTTCTTTGTTTATTTTCGTTGCCTCTTCAGTTGATGACACCAGTTTTTCACTGTCTTCGGCAGTGCTGTTATTAACTCGCGCAGAAGACATTGAAATTCGAGAACCCTTTGAAAATCTGATTAATCAAAAATCGAGAATCAAAAATTATCTTTACTAGAAGCTGCTGAACTGTACAATATATAGAACTCATAGAAAATACTAGATACACGAAGACTGTATAGTCAACTGTTCGAATGAATTATCTCTAACTTCCTCTTACTCAAAGGGTTATCTCTCTTCAATCTGAGTACTTTCTGATAAAATCAGCTCTGACGAGATCTACTTTAGCAATGTCCTCAGTGATAGTTTGGAAAACTGGAGATCTCCATTTGAAGAATACCTAGTCGGAATAATTTCATATTTCTCCCTTGGACCTTATTTGATTAGCGAATTAAGTTTCTAGATACAGAGTACTCGGAGTAAAGGTTGAATGAATGAATGAATACGTTGATGGTAATGATGACACGCGATAGATCATGTGTTCTTCGTTCAACAGGGACTTGGACAAGATGAAGGACGGTATCGGCGAGAAGCTCGGGGTCTTCACGTACCTAATGGTCTCCTTCATTTCCTCCATCATTATATCGTTCGTTTACGGGTGGAAATTGACGCTGGTGGTGCTCAGTTGCGCGCCGATTATCGTGATAGCCACCGCGGTCGTGGCGAAGGTGCAGAGCTCCCTGACCGCGCAGGAATTGAACGCGTACGGCCAGGCCGGAAACGTCGCGGAGGAAGTGCTAGGCGCCATTAGGACAGTGATCGCCTTCAATGGCGAACAAAAGGAGGTGGACAGATACGCGGAGAAGCTGGTGCCCGCCGAGAGGACCGGTACCAGGCGTGGAATGTGGTCCGGCGTTGGCGGCGGTGTCATGTGGTTCATCATCTACATCAGCTACGCTATTGCCTTCTGGTAGGACACCTGCGAATATTAACCTTTGCACTCTTAGTCATCACTTGATTTGATATAGAAAAGCTACGAAGTTGAATATTTAGGATTCTAAATGGAACTTTGAGTTGCTATGTGAAACATTTAAATACAATGGCTTTGTAGCTTACTTTATCAGTCAATTATCATTAAATTAGCTAAAGCCAAGCTAAAAATGTAACAGTGCTAAATTGCGGCATGCAGCTGCTAACTTATGTACGTAGGAATCGAGCCACGAGCCTCAGTTTATCCCAACAGTGCTTCTCGTTCTTCATGGTACCCTCGGGATCCTGCCTTTCAGTACTCATCAGTAACTGAAGTACCCTTCAGGGATGCTCCCGATAAATTAGTGAAAGTTACAGTATTTTTAAAGATTTTACGGGACGAGGATATACCTTGAGGACCTAGAATCGGATCAGTTAAATAAATTTTCATGTTGGAAAAATCCGTACCATAATTATGGTGACCGATATTTCACTCGTGATGCTTATATTTCCAAGAAAATTTTCGTCACGAGTCAAATTCGTTAAAGTACAAGGGGTTAACATGTTTCTCACGTGAAAACTAAGAGTTTAATTCTAACACTAATATCAGAAGCTAATTCTAATGGTAATTAACGATATCGACAATATTAATGATACGTGTACTTTTCACCTGATAATAGGTACGGTGTCCAGCTGATTCTGGAAGACAGACCCAAGGACGAGAAGGAATACACGCCCGCCGTGCTGGTGATCGTGTTCTTCGGCGTGTTGGCCGGTGCTCAGAACATGGGTCTGACGTCGCCGCATCTCGAAGCGTTCGCGGTCGCCAGGGGTTCGGCCGCGGCGATTTTCCAGGTGCTCGATCGCACGCCGGCGATCGACAGCCTCAGCAAGGACGGCCAGAGGCTGCCGTCCGTCACCGGCGAGATCGAGTTTAAGGGCGTGCATTTCCAGTACCCCGCCAGAAAGGACGTGAAGGTGCTGCAAGGCTTGAATCTCAAGATCAATCACGGTGAAACGGTGGCGTTGGTCGGCGGGTCGGGGTGCGGCAAGTCGACCTGTCTGCAGCTCATCCAACGTCTCTATGACCCCTTTAAAGGACAAGTGAGTATTAACTGGGTATTAATTGTATTAACGTGTTGAGTATTATGTCAGTTAGGAAGCTTGAAGATTTTGATGTTTCTGGATGTTTCGGAGAAGCCATTTTTCTTAAATTAATAATTACACGAACGAAATTCTGCGGAAGATTCATCCTCGCGCTTTCCAGAAACCAACTACAATCAACTAACTATAAACGCTAATGCCAGCAGTATCCTGTTCACAATCCGAGAGGCTTAAAACGCCAACTATTTATCCCCGTGAAAGTCTGTTATCCCGAAACTTCATGATACAATTCCAAGAGTTAGCCGAGCAGGAGCTATCGAAATTCAACTCGCGCCTCTCGTTAAGACTCCGGCAATCCCGTTGCCATTTAATTCGAATCATTCACAAAATGTCTTCTTCCTGCAATTATTAAGAATATAACACATGTTTCTCTAACAAACGATTAAAGAAATCTGAATTATCCACCGATCAAAGTCTCAACAGATGCACTCTTAGAGTTCCCAAAGGAATTTCAAAAAGTCTATTCAACTGCTCGCTAGTTTTAGTGTTAAATTGTTGAGTTTTGTTGAGAAGCGCCAACACAGTTTTCCCGTCGCGCGACCCGCTGCGTTCGCTCTCGATATTATTTATTAACTTATTTTATCGGGCCCGGCCGTTACAGTAAATTTACCGTCTTGCATTCGTCGTGCCGCGTTTCCCGGTTGTTTGTTTACCGGGGCCGGGTGATTTATTTGAACGCGCGGAACGCTCGGTATTTCTGCGCCGACATTACGCAACGAGGCGGGTTAATAACCGAGTCATGAATATCCGGCCGACGTTTTTGTCCCCGTCGAAATTATGGTGACGTCGAACGCGAGGCGCACGACGGAGCGGCCCGTGCTCCTCTGCGCGTCGCTCTTCAGCTTTTCACGATCTTCGTTCCCCGGTCTTTTTTTTCTCGCCGCTTTCAAAGCCGAGTATTTCGGACTCTTTGTTTTTCCCGGCCAATTATGCTACTTTCCCACGCGGAATAACCTTTGAGAGCAACTCGTGTCCACTTCGCGTGGACCTTTGCCCTCCGACAACTACAATTTCGACGAGGATCCCCGCGCGGTATGAAAATCTTTCGAAATTAACCCTTAGAATTTAGGCTGTTTTGTAACCTATTAGCAACTAATTTTTATAGCATTCCTAGCAAAAATTAGAAATGCTATAATATTCTTTCGATCTTTTATTTTCGTTCTAAGTAGAAAATTTGGATGGAAAATGGAATAATTTTAGGGTGGTTTCTTTAAGATTCATTGAAACGTTTAATATCAGAACTGGTGCAATATTGGAGCCTAGAGTTCAAAGGGTTAAACAAGTGAGAATTAAATAGGAATTCCTTTCTTTCTACTTAGACAAATCTCTCTAGAAATTCTATAATAACTTTCCCCAAATTAGTGTTCAGAATGATGAGTTTGAAATTATCTTCAATCCAGTTACAAGCTTCTTTACTAACTATAATTCCACTTAAAATCATCAAGAAACAGATGATCCTTCGTAATCATTTAAACCGAAGAGAATAATATACAAAATGGTCTCTATCAACTCAAGAAGTCCAAAAACATCCAACATTCTCCCACAAATTACCTAAAACAACTGTCCCAAAGCGTGCTCAGCTCAGTCACACTCTGCCAAGCGAGTCCTCTCACCTGCGATCTCACTGATAATTCCGCAGAAACAGACAATTCAAGCAACCAGTTCCACTCCCAAAACATTCAACAGTTCGAATCCCAAAACGACCGCCGAAAATAACTTCCGTCTCGTCGAGTCCTCTCCCCGCTCGTCGCGCGCTTCTTTGTCTTCGCGGCGCGACAGTGTCCGCAAATATGGCCACGCTCTCGAACGCCATCGCAGAAGCGGCCAGAGGGAGACACGAAGAGGGGTTTACGAGGCGGCGAACAAAGCGGACTTCATCCTCTTCCCCTCCACGCCGACGGTTTTCGTCCCCGTCGCGATTTTTCCGTCCGATTAAATTACGAGGAATTCGGGCTCGCCCAGTAAACCGTGAATTTATTTATTACGCCCGGGGCTTAACAATATCCCGGGCGTGAATATTCCATTATTACATCTGTACCGGGCGCGGGAATTTTACGGGAACAAGTTTGAAGCGTTTCTCGCTGGAATACACTGCCTCGAGGAGTTTTCCCAGCAGTAAAACTTTTACGATCCCCGCGCTCTGCATCCGCGGCAGTTTCCACCGTCGAAAATATTACCCGGCGCATTCGGCATACTGATTTCGACCGCGCCGCGTCGAACCGCGCTCGCGCGCCCGCGTTCGTATTTTCCGCGCGGTTGCTGCGCCGCCGTCGCCGAAGAGGGGACACCGGCGGAAATTCGTTTGCTCGACGAGACACTCGGATTTTCTCGATACCTCGCTACCTACTTGTCGATGCGCAGCTTCCAGGCAACGTTTCCGCGGAATCTGTCGTGTTTTCGCCGGGAGAATATGTCTCGGGGCTCGCGGATCGAGTGTTTAGCGGTTGAATTAAGTTACGACCGATGTCGAGTGAAATATGAATATTTCCTGCCGAATGAAATTTAAATGTTTCCCTTCCGCCTGAGTGGGAAGGTAAATATTTTATTTCAATGGAACGTAAATATCCTGCTTCCGTTGGATTGAAATATTGCGTTTTTATCTGAATGAGATAGAAGTATTTGTCTGACAGATGGAACGTTTAATAATTACGGAGTGATGAGTTAATTGTATTAGTATGAACCGGAGTTTCTATTATTTATCTGTAAGTTAATCGAATGGATGAAAGTGATCTTTGGGAAAGATCGATATCTGGAAACTTTGACAGTGGTAATTTTAAGCAAATTTAGATTGCAAATGTATAGTGAACATAGTGATATAATTTCACGAGTCAGAAGGCAATATCGTTCAATCGATTTTCGATATTCTCTTGAATAAATAATCTTTTAAATTATTCAAGCATTTACTCGTTCTAGAGTCCTACAGCTTCCGAATATGTTGTATACTAATTTCATTACATCAACCTAAATTTTTCTTTCCCGAGCTTCCCCAAGCTTCTACGCGACATATACATACAGTTACATGAAAATCATCTCGTACGAATAGAATAACTTCGTCTATATCTACCCGAACGTCCCAAGATGGTCAGACCGTCAGAAAGGATTCTGAAGATTGCGAATTTTCTTTTGTTTGTGTCACGTAGGTTCTTCTGGACGGCGTGGAGATATCGAAGCTGAACGTCCAGTGGCTCCGCTCGCACATAGGCGTGGTCGGCCAGGAACCGGTGCTCTTTGACACGACGATACGAGAGAATATCCGGTACGGAAATGACAGCATTACCGAGGAGGAGATGATCAAAGCCGCGAAGGAAGCGAACGCTCACGACTTCATCAGCAAACTGCCCGAGGTGAGTGTCGGAACACCTTTTCCCCTATTCCGATCCCGTTCGTCGGTTCAGCGGAATTTTAGTTCGTCCCTATGCAGTTTTCCGCCGCGACAGCCATCGCGACTGATTCCTCGGTCACTCGGGGAATCGGAGCCTTTAGGCTTGAGTCACAGGAGCGCTCGTGCCACGGACGTTACTCGCGTGTTGGTATTAACCCTTTGCACTCGAGAATATTTTTCGCAACAAATATTACTTATTTTCTGATGAAATATCAATGGTCTTCTTTACAATTAATATAAAGGAATACCTTGCATAAAGTAAGTGACGGAACTATTTTATTTCGAAACCAGGAAGTACGTGCTGATCTCTTGCTGTTTGAATAATTAAATCATTTGTTGACGACTTAGTCTTCGAAACATCAACATTTCCTCCCGCCAAAATGTCGGCATTCGTCCGCAAAGGGTTGAATACCGAAGGAATTTTTTAATAGAGAAAATGTTATAGCGAAGAGAATAACGTGACTGTGAAATTTTTATAGATGAAATTGATTAGAAAGTTTCGGAACGTTGACTAAATTATTTCTGTATGTTTCATTTAAAATGCATTCGGTGGTGATAAGTTAATGATCTTAGGATATTACTGGCTGTTCCCATAGTAACATGTTAATATGATGGATGATATCGAGGAACTGTGAAATTCAGTAGTTACACTTTATAAACTGATGCGAGTGAACGTATAAAATTCGCTGTATGGTTGTCAGTAGGTTCATTATTCATCCTAGAACAATACCATGGCTCCGGCAACGATCCAAGGAAAGTTTGATTGTTTCTATAAACACTGATAAACGTTAGAATATCGAGCTCGCGTGTAATTCTAAAACTTGCTCAACAGTTTGGGGAGTTGGGGAAAGAATCAATTTTACGTTAGATCCGAATTCAACGTGTTAACTCAGCGCCACGTGTACCACATACGGTACACGCCAATTCCGGTAAAAAAATATCAAAGTGACATGGTCAAGAATAGAAAACACAAAGAAACAATACTAAAATATATAAAAATTATCAAGCACTTGAATATAATTTAATATCTTATTTCAAAAATCAACACAGTTCATAAGCAAAATATGACTCTCGATCATCACTTCATTTTACGATGGAGAAGTATTGCATTCATTATTCTCTACAGAATTTATATTCAAATTTTTAATATCCATATATTTATTATAAGCCACCAATAAAAAAATCACTTTGAATATATATTTACTTCCACTAGTTGGTACTAGTTACAAACCATCAATAGAAAAATCACTTTGAATGTATTTACTTTTAAAATTTATTTACTTTTTAATTCACTTCCACCAGTTGATACTGTCACGAGAAAACTGTGCCGATCGTAAAGGGTTAAAACAGTATCCACAGAACGCAGTCCTTGTTAACGAATTGAATCGCAAACGTATTTTCCATTACCGAAATACTGCCAGTCGTTTGGCACTAGTGCCGGTACATTCGCTCGCGTGTACACGTGGATCATCAACGCGGTTTGCAGCGTGTTAACAATAGTCTCAGGTGTGACCGTCGATCCGCGGAGCACACGCGCAAACAGACGATAAAACAGCCCGTTAAACCGCGCGCGAGCAAATAACAGTATCCGAGATTACGGTTGCGTCAACGATTAGGCGTTTATTACCGAATTATCGGCGGCCGGGCACGATATTAGCGATCCTCGCAATGGGCCCGCCGGCACACGCCGTCGCGTTCACCACCTGTCCCTGTCCAACGACGCGTTTAGGACTGTTACCGGCAACTGGACCGAACGGTTTCCAACGGCGATCGAAAATCGTCGTCGCAAACAATCTGATTGAGAAACCCGAGATTCGTTCATTAATGTTCGTTAACGTCTTAATCAGTTAACCCTTTGAACTCTGAAGTTTTTCGCTGGAAATATTCAACACTTTCCGATGAGATATAAACGACATCCGAAACTAGTCTAACGATAATTCACAGATAAATTAAGCAACGAAGCTATTATTAACTGGTTAGTTTCAGAATATAGAAAAAACTTGAAAGAAAGATAATTAACTCTTTGCAGTCCGTTTGTTGCAGCGACATCGTAAGGTAAATTGATAAATCGGTTTTCAGTGAAACTTTAATATATATATATGAGTTTGTTTAATGACGGACATTTAAAAATTATTCAGAGTTGCTGAAAGTTATTAACTCTTTGCACTCGAGTGGACTCTCTTGATTCGACGCAGTAAAATTATAAAATTTGGTATTCAATATTAAACTGTGTGTGTGTTAAGAAAGCTTTGTTTCTTAATTCGCTTGTGCTTTCTCTTTAAGTTAATTTAAACAACTATCGTCTTCGTCTAGTTAGAAAATGTTGAGTATTTCTAATACTTCCGAGTGCAAAGGGTTCAAACAATTGAAGGTTTCTGTTTTAATAAGAATGGCGAGTAATCGAACACGTTTCGTCCATTATTGGCAGCTACTGATGATAGAAAATTCTGGAGATACCGATTGGAGTAATTTAAGATTGGATATTGATTAAAATAGATATTAAAGGCCGGGAGGGGGCGGAGAAAGGAGTACAAAGGACAGAGTTTCCTTGGAATCTGTTAAGGGTAGTTGTTAACGAGTAGAAATAGTACACTTATCGAATAATAATGGAACGTCACACTGGATGTAACTTGAAGAGATAACGGTCGTTAAGCAGCGTTACAGGGACGCGGCGCAAAGTGCTCTGCCTCGTAAATTTATTAAATCTCCGCGGCACGTTCGGAGGGCAGACGCGATACGTCGTTCCTCGGTTAATTACATAATCGTTATTTCAAACCGCAGGAACTTGGATAGCCGAGCAAATGGCCACGGTCGCGGTTCTGTCGATAACGATTAACAAATTCGAGGGTCCTGTGATCGCGTTCACCGAATTCGAGCTTGACTTCTAGTAGTGCTTCTCGTAGTTCAAACGTGATTAATTCCTGGTTCCCTCTATTAAGATATTAATCCGGGATACTGATTCAGTGACTTTGACACAATTTACGTGCTTAGCCTATCATCGACGAGAATATTATGGTCTGTAATTAACCCTTTTATGGTAAGGATTCTTTAAAATATACAACCTGCGTATTCTGCAAATTATACATCGAATGTTTATATAACAGAAGATAAAGAAATGACGTATTGATTTCTTGCTGTGTAATTAAATCACTTGTCTACTTAGTATTCCAAACATGGAAGTTTGATCTTAGCGAGGTGTCGAGATTCCTAATGAAAATTAGAAATGGTATAACATTTCTTCGATCTTTTATTTTCCTCGTTAGTACAGAATTTGGATATGTGGAAAATCGAATAATTTTAGGGTAGTTTATTTATGATTAAAATATTTAATATTATAACTGGTGCAATATTCGATCCTACAGAGTTCAAAGGGTTAATCCGCAGCTGATAGATCTAAAAGAGTCTACCACTAGAACTAATTAATCAGAGCGATTTCTAGGTTCTAAATTCTAAAAATTAGAAGAGTACGTTATCTCAAATTCAAAATTTCCCCTTATCAACATATCTGTACGAATACAGTATAATTTCTGACAAGATCATTTCATTTCCAACGTGAAACAGAAATGTTGAAAAGCGTATTTTATCAAGTGATTCTAGTGTCAAGCATTTGTTCCGTGCTTACGGGAAAAAGGCGGGTTTCCATCAGGACAAATTCTGTTGCAGGGTTACGACAGCCCCGTAGGAGAAAGGGGATCGCAACTTTCCGGCGGTCAGAAGCAGAGGATCGCCATTGCGCGTGCCTTGGTCAGAAGGCCAGCCATACTATTGCTGGACGAAGCCACTTCCGCGTTGGATCTTCACAGCGAGGCGACCGTGCAAAGAGCTTTGGACGCCGCGTCAAAGGGTAGGACGACCATTGTCGTCACTCACCGATTGTCCACGATCACAAACGCCGACAGGATAGTATTTATTAAGGAGGGACAAGTGGTCGAGCAAGGTACCCACGAAGAGCTGCTCGCGCTTGGGAAACACTACTACGGCCTGGTTTCCGCTGACGCCAGCGCCACTGCCAGAGGTGATTTCCAGCGACTTTGGAATTCTTACTTCTACCTTGTTCCTCGAGTACTAATAGATATCAGGAATACTAATAATATCTGGCGTATTAATAAATATCAAGAATACTAATGAATATCAGGAACAATCTTGAGGATTTTCTGTTATTAACACTAGATTTACGGAACCCGTCAATTTGACAGTTATTGAACTTTTTAAACATTATTTAGTAATAGTTTGAATCGATCTGGATTCGTGCAATTAGGCGAATACGCATTGCAATGCTCTAGTTTTGAAGCTACAGTTTTCTCCAGTTAAAGTGCCTGACAATTTCAAAGAATTAAGGCTATATAGAATTAAATGCGTAATAATATGACTTATTAGTGTTGAAATAAAGAGATTGTTACTAAACGTGCTGCGAATTTTGTTACACTAGCAAAAGCAACAGCATCAGCAGCGAAAACGGTCACGGCGGCCATACCGAAGCAGAAGCCGCCATTGAAGCGGCAATTCTCCACTCTGTCGATGCACTCTCATCGTCTGTCATTGGCTGGCGCGTCGGAGACCTCCGTCAATCAGTTGGAAGAGCACGAGAAACAATACGATGCGCCGATGATGAGGATATTCGGGCTGAACAAGCCGGAATGGCCTTTCAATATAATCGGTAACAAAATAATAACAGTTTTCATTGAAGATTAGAACACTCATCACTAGATAATATTATAATTCCCTGGAATTTAGTCTTATCTTCCAACAGAGGTTTCCAAGTTGAACACTCAAGCTTCCTAATCTAAATTTCTTAACCCTTTCACTACTGTTGACCTAAAGACGCTCAGAAAACTTGCGTTAATCATACTGTAGACGCTCAAAGGCGCTTGAAATATCATAGCATTATACACACTTAAACATATTACTTGCAAAATTTCGCCGTTCCCGGCATCCGTCACGGCTTCCTACAAAGTGTGCGTCTGAAATGCCGCAGTCAAAGGTCCTAAAGATCCCGAGTTCTCACGCGAATCCACGTTCCAGGTTGTCTGGCAGCAGCGATGGTGGGAGCGTCTTTCCCAGCGTTCGCCGTGCTGTTCGGCGAGGTGTACGGCGTGCTGGGTCTGCTAGACGAGGACGAGGTGCGCCGGCAGACCGTGAAGTTCTCGATCCTCTTCCTGATAGTCGGCGTGGTGACCGGCGTGGGCACGTTCCTGCAAATGTACATGTTCGGTTTGGCCGGTGTCCGGATGACGACGAGGATCAGAAGGATGGCGTTCACCGCGATGCTGAAGCAGGAGATGGGCTGGTACGACGAGGACACCAACAGCGTGGGCGCGTTGTGCGCCAGACTGTCCTCGGACGCTGGCGCGGTGCAGGGAGCGACGGGCACGCGTATCGGCGCCATCTTGCAGGCGTTGTCCACGCTGGTCCTGGGCATCGGGCTGTCCATGTACTTCACTTGGAAGATGACGCTGGTCTCGGTGGTGTCCATCCCGCTGGTGCTGGGCGCGGTGTTCTTCGAGGCGAGAGTGATGAGCGGCCAGGGCCTGCAGGAGAAGAAGAAGATGGAGGCGGCCACGAGGATCGCCATCGAGGCCATCTCGAACATACGGACCGTGGCCAGCCTGGGGAAGGAGGAGGCGTTCCTGCAGCGATACTGCGTGGAACTGGACCACGTCGCTAAGGCGACCAGGATCAGGAACAGGCTCAGGGGACTGGTGTTCTCGTGCGGGCAGACTACCCCGTTCTTCGGGTACGCGCTGAGTCTGTACTACGGCGGCGCGCTGGTGGCCACCGAGGGCCTGAACTACGAGGACGTGATCAAGGTCTCCGAGGCGTTGATCTTCGGCTCGTGGATGCTGGGACAGGCTCTCGCCTTTGCGCCCAATTTCAACACCGCCAAGATATCCGCTGGGAGGATATTCCAGCTGCTCGACAGGGTGCCGGAGATCACCTCGCCGCCGGACTCGGAAGATAAAGATCTGGATTGGGTGAGTGCTGCCGTTGATTGGCGTCTTTGGGTTGGGTAACGGGAGTGTGGAGAGAATCCTTTGGTTACGGAATGTTAACGTGTTTCTGGAAAGAGATTGAAGGTGTCATGTTGAATTGACGTGATTAATGGAATCTGAAGTAATTAGGTTTTTGTAACTTGGGGTAACGGAAGATGGAATTGATTGGAATTCGATTGTGTCTGATCTATGCGAACTTCGCGATTGTCAGTAATGTTTTATGGGTGCTTATGGATTAACATATCGGAAAGAAATTTTTAAAGTGCCTTTGAGCGCCAACAGTAGCTAAGGGGTTAATAATAATGGTGACATTATTAATATTAATATTCACAGTGTTTATAACATAAGTTTGAAGTATCGAAAGAAGAGATAATACGAGAAATATCAAATTTATAATCATTTAGCATCCTATGTTTAGTTAATCGCGATAGCTAGCAATCACCGATCAAAAAAAATCAAATTCAGAGCTGTTACAGTATCGCGCGATCCAATTCCGAAGAATTTCTTTCCGCGAGACGCGGCAAACATCAAATGGAAATAACCGCGCCGCGAACTGCGCGTTCCGGTGCCATTATATTACGACTGTTTAGCGAACTATCGAATTTATGACGTTCAGACAGCAAAGCCTCCGGCAACACGTGTTAATTACACTCAAAATGGGGTGCCGTGTGTTTGATCGGGGTAGCAACCACCTACCGATCCCACCCCGAAGCACCAGAATTTCAAACCGTTTAATGAAGCGATACGAGTGAACGACATTTCCAGCTCGGCCGGAAATGCCGCGTGTTACGCGACCTCGCGGCTCGAAAATATCGTTCGTTCGATTAACGACGGGAACCCTCCGCGGGAACGATAAATTATTTTTCATCGAAAAGTCTCGCCGCATCCCCGCCGTGCCCGTGACACGTACCGGCGACATAATTAACAGCGAAACGGAGGATTGTTACAGAGGAACGAGGCCGACTGGTACTTAAGCGACAGACGCGCCATTAATCGGGCCGAATTTAATGACAGAGAAATAATATCGGCAGCTCGTTCGATAATTTCATTTCACTTTCGGCCACGCTGTGGACCGCGCGATAATTATCGCGATTGAAATGTACCGAGCGTTACGGTTAATCATTAACTGCGCCTCGTGCTCTGTGAAGTCGAACTGATTCCGAGTTATTTCACAAACGTTCGCGTTTAGCCGCTGCATTCGGACGGTCGATTGTACGCTTGTCACGCGATTCGCTGCGAAAAGCCGGGCGAAACCGATGTTGCGACACGATGCTCGCAATTTTTGGTTTTCGTGCTTCCTCGCGCATTGCGATTGCAACTTTGGGGCAAATGAGTTTTTAATATTTAATGTCGCTAGCTTTACGATTTTCATTCAAGTTGAAGCTTCGCATAGGAGGAAGATGTTTCTAATATTTCACGAAGTAATTTTACATTCATAATTCGTACGATCCTTGTAGTTTTTGATGTTTTTATGTTTCTTTAGAATTGGAACTTTGAATGGAATGAGTTTTTTATATTTAATATCACAAGTTTTACGATTTTCATTCAAGTTGAAGCTTCGTATAGATGTTTCTAATATTCAGTAAAACAACTTTCACGATCTCCAATGTTTAACAATTACATTACTCTGAATATTGAATTCGAAATTTTATAAAGAAACGAGGCGTCTAATATTCAATGTCCCAACTGCCACAATTTTCACAATTTTCGCTACGTGTACAACCCCGTAGAATTCTTACACCCTCCCAATTACCTCGAGCATTGAAAAAGAGCATTTCCATGGAGGAAAGAAGTCTCTAATAGCAAATACGAACCGTCGAAAATTTCAGAAAGCGGAAGGTCTGATCCAATTCTCGAAAGTGGAGTTCCACTATCCGACGCGGTCGGAGATGCCGATTCTGCAGGGGTTGAATTTGATCGTGAAGCCGGGTCAGATGGTCGCGTTGGTCGGTCAAAGTGGATGCGGCAAGTCGACCTGCATCCAGCTACTGCAACGGTTGTACGATCCGATCTCTGGCACGGTGACGATGGACCGCCGTGACATCTCGTCGGTCTCTTTGCGCAATCTGCGCTGCCAGCTCGGCGTTGTCGGCCAGGAACCGGTCCTCTTCGATAGGACGATCGCTGAGAACATCGCGTACGGCGACAACTCCCGTCATGTGCCGATGGAGGAGATCATGGAAGCCGCAAAGAAGTCGAACATCCACAGCTTCGTCAGCTCTCTACCACTAGTGAGTATAGATATCTAAGTTATCGGAATGATAAATCGTTATTTAGGTAATCAGATAGATCATCGTTTTATTGAAACCTTTGTCATCTGCGAACACGATTTATCGATATGTTTATGTAATTCTTGAGTTACGTCAGAGTTTTACTTCTCTTTGTAATGGTTGTAATTATATGTTGATATATAGTTAGAATATTTAAGGGAATAATAAACGTAATAGATTTCTCTTAATTCTATTAAAAATATTCTATTGATTTCTGTTTAATATAGATATGTAAAGTTACATTATCTAAGATAATATAAATTAAATTCATTCTCTACTCCTGTTAAATTCATTCTATTGGATTTGCAAATTGGCGCAATGAAATTCGCGCAGTTTAAAGTCGATGGTTTCACCGGAATTTCGTATAATGAGAAGTAAGAAGTCCCCGCGGGTCTGAAAGTGATCTTCGGTTTGAAAGGAATTGCAAGAACGTCTGGTTTCTCTGGTTACAGGGGTACGATACTAGGTTAGGATCTAAAGGAACGCAGCTCTCCGGCGGGCAGAAGCAGCGTATAGCGATAGCTCGTGCACTGGTCAGGAATCCACGGATCCTGCTCCTGGACGAGGCCACTTCCGCGCTTGACACTCAAAGCGAGAAGGTAAGGAGCTCTCCATTTACCATTTACCGCCCTTCGAGTAATAACGAAGCACCTGTTACGCGGGGCGCAGTGTCCAGGATGATCGCTGTCGTTTCGAGATCCTTCCCGTGATTCATGGACTTCGTTCAGCCAAAAATTCTTTCATATATTATTTCTACAGAAAAGATGTGCGAATGTATCTATCGAACAGTCTACTTTTCTTTATAATATCTAATTTTCAAAATGTAGAATCCTCTACTAAAGGAAAACCGAAGAGACTAACAAAATCTAAATATGCACCGTTCTAGCATTGAGGTTTCGAAACCTTCAAAAAGTATAGTTAACACTAAATTCAGGGACACTACAGTTTGTTCTATCGTTCTTACAACAATTGACATTCATCCATTCAGATCTCGCGAATTATAGGTTCAGAAGTATACTAGCCATTCGTCTAATAGCATCAATCAAAATTAACCACAACATTTACTAATCAATATTTAAAACCTCTGTCAAAATCAACTCTTAGATTTACTATTAAAAGAATACTTAAGAGTTACACAATTAGACTACCTATTCGCCTAACAGCGTCAATCAAAATCAACCACAACCCTTACCAAGTAATATCTACAAATCTACATAATAATGTCAAAATTTTGATCCGTGGGTAATGAACAACATCGATTGCTCTTAAATTGGTTTAGAAATCTTCATCGCACTCACTCGTAATTGTACAAGGGGTTAAACCTTCCGACGATTCGCATCTCCGAACGTGTGCAACGAACTCCGCTCGCGGGAAACCAAGCGTCTACCTCCCACGTTAACGCTGAAAATGGGTCGCGTAGCCGGTCTGCGGTAGACGGGAGCAGCTTTCAGTGATATAATGTGCGGGCGGTCGGGCGAAGACGGTTTTTTCCTGCGGCGAGATCGGCCGAAGAAACGAGCGCGGTCCTTGAGAGGCGTGAAACAGTAGACGGAATTCTCGCGGGGACAAAAGCGTCGCGTTCGAGCTTACCGCGGCATTGTGTTACACCTGCGACCAATTAACAACCCTCATAATGCCGGGCTTCTCCCCGCCTCGCGCGCGTTGGCGAGGCGAGGCGAGGCGGAGCGGCGATAACGTTGCAGCGGCTTAGCGCGCGCCGATCGCCGGAACAAGATTGGATTCAATTGAGAATCGGACCGAGGGCCGCGCTCGCTTTCTCGTTATCGCGGCCTCCCGAGACCTCTGCACGGTCAATCGAGTTAATGGCTCGCTGAAAATGCGATACCCACCGGTACCGTGTTTGCCTCGCGATCGCGATCGTGCAAGAATCTCTGCCCTCTTCGGCGATTTCCGTTTTCCTTATCGGTTTTTGAAGAGTCACCGCTGCGCCTGATCGATTCTAATGTTCGCGCTGAGATTCGCGGATAATCGCCGCAAGGAAAGCTCGAGAATTGATTCTAAGAGGAACTGAACTCTCTGGTTTTTGAACGGTTTCTTTGGATGCGTGGGTTTTTCGAAATTCATGGGTTATTATTCATGTTATTCATTATTGAATAGAAATGATAAGTTCTATTGAAGAAGTGATTATAGAATTTCTTTGGTAGATTCTCGAACGCCAATTTGATGAATGAAAATGAGAGATTTTTGTAGTCTGAAGAAACCACTGAATCATTGTTCAAGGAATTGAATATTTTGGTTTAATGTTTCTTTTTATAGATTGAGAATAGAATTCAACGTTATATACATTTTCCCTGCAAGTTTGACCTTGAATGACCTTGAGTCATATATTGAATTCGTCTTAAAATGCACTATTTAATAGTGGAAGAAAACGTATCATTCCATTTAAAAAAAGAAAGTTGACCTTCACCTCACCTTGGAGTGTCCACAAGGAAAAATAAAAGTACCACATAATATCCCCCTCGGTACTGAACAACTTGTCTGAAACATTTTCGCGTACAATCAATATTTTCGGAGATATTCGACAGCAACCCTTTATAATTTCCATCCTGTAGAGAAACGGGATTAATTTGAAATTTTGATGTTCGAAGTAAGAATCATTTTGTATAGCAAGAGCTTATCAACGCATTGGTAATTTTTAATTTTCCTCACGCGAGTAGTTGAATTTTCGAGTTCTGTCCACTGTCTGTGTCGGAGGACGTTACGCGAAAATATTTTGTTGCTGTCGAGAGATGAATATTAGGACACTCGGTCCCGAATACACGCGCGCGCGCTTCAATGTAAACTAGCCCGCCGGCTGATGAATATTAATAGGGTCTGATGGATTTTAATGTACAATACCGACGGAAAACCGTGAACCGAAGCCGACGATAAAAGATATCGCCGCGAGTCTGTCCCGGCCGCGCATTACGTAATGGCGCGGGTATACTTTATATGATAATTCGTGCGGAATGAAAATTCATACGTTTACGCGGGCGAATCGAAATCCTCGCTCTGATTGGGTTGCGGGGGATTATGCCGTTTCGGTTCCTGTAAAAACGCCCGGGTAATTGTTGCATTTTTCAGGGCAATCTCGTTTAAATCATTCAACGGGGATTCGTTAATGACTGTCTTAATGAATTTGAAACTGGGGTAACGACTATTCATAACTAAATAATATTTCGATGCTGATATAAATATGTATGCTCTCCGAGAATATTTGAAATTAATTTAAATAAATAATTTCGATAACTGTTACTTTGATCGATCTTTTTTTATAAACGAGATTTTATTAACTAGATATTGTAATTATCTTTGTATATGGGAGTATTTGATGTTATTTTTATTTGTTTCGTGATTATAACAAAATTTATGCAGTACGAAATTAATAAATATCCACATATGAATACAAATTAACAGTGTACTCAATAGTTTCAACAATTTTATTGAAACGAATATATTTTGTAACTTTGAAATTTCAATGACTTAATCGAAATCAATGGTTAATTATTTAATGTCGTTTGTCGTTTTGCAATAAAAAATTAAGTACGTTAATTTAACTCGGTATATTGATGTGTGACTTCAAAGTCGCACGAGCCTATAGAGGGTTAATTGGCACAATAGAAGAGCAATACGTGTGCTCTAAAATGGCACGAATTATAAATTTAGAGGCGAAACTTTTCGGATCGGTAGCGAACGATTATTTGAACGGAAACGAGGGTCCGAAATCAGCGACAACCGGCGAGAAGCCTGCGCAATGGTATTATCTACGGTTGTAATCGGAAATCCTCGGCTTTGCCCGTATTCAATTGTTGTCCCCCGCTCGACCGGCGAGCGAATTTCACTGAAATTATTGTTTCCCGGTTGCTTACGACCCTCCTGCATGATTCAGTCTTTGTTGGCTGGACGCGCTCGCCCGTATTCCGTCGCATTGCGCGCGACGTCCATTTGCAGCCGATGGATTCGACGGAGACTCCTTTTTCTCTCGTAATCACGCTTGAAACATAATATTCATTGGAACGGTTCGCGGCCGGCGCGTTTGTAAATTATTCGGATCCGTAAAATTCCACTAAAACCCGGCTCGCCAATCTGATTACACACGGTGTCGGTGAGAATTCGTTTAAAAAATATACCGGAAATATCCTGTTTACCGCGCGAAGGTACAACGGACTCGCGATGCGGGGGATATTTATTAAAATACGACGGTTTCAATAAAATTCATCGTCATATCGGTGCACCGATAAACAATACATTAATTTAATCCCATAAAAGCACCGTCTGCATCATATTCGCACTCTTCGTAACTTCAAATTTCATGCGAAATAAATATTATCCCTTCGCGCCCGATTGTCCCCTCTAAAGTAATGATGTTGCCCGGTAATTACAGTTTATTGTGACAGCCTATTATGCAGTTAATTGTACAGTACTATGTTACTCTATTACGTCAGCTATCGCGGCATTAGTTAGTTTACTATAATAGCCGACAGATTGAAGTGCCATTCCAACTGAATCCCGTTTAAACAACCATTAGTATCAACAATAACCATTCAATTTCGAACTTGCTATTTTATGAATAAAAACAAAATAGTGCTTTCCCCATTACAATCGCCATAACTCCACTTTCTAAAACAGAATATCACGCAATTCCCACAAGTTACCAAAATACGCCACCTCATTGGTAATATTACAGTATTAGAGTAGTACAGTATTTGTCAATATTACAGTATTAAAGTAGTACAGTATCAGAGTAGTACAGTATTTGTCAATATTACAGTATTGTCAATATTACAGTATTGTCAATATTACAGAATTATCAATATTACAGTCTTGTCAATATTACAGTATTGTCAATATTACAGTATTCTCAATATTACAGTACTGTCAATATTACAGTATTAGAGTAGCACACTATTACATTAGTAAAGTCTGTTGCACCGAACCTGGCACTCTCGTCCAAGTGGTCAAACTCGAAGGCGCACACCTGATTGGCTAAGATACTCACGCCCACCAATCAAGTCGCGCGACACAGGGCGCGGAGAGTCGGTCTCGCAATTGGTTTCCTCGAAGCGACCGTCTCCGCCCTATGACGTCACGAGTGCCAAGTTCCCTGCAACTGACGGCACTCCCCGGCGAAGGAGCCATCCATGAGCCACACACGAGTTAATTTCCCGGTACGTGTTTGTTGCGCAGGTCGTGCAGGCCGCCTTGGACAAGGCGATGGAGGGCAGAACGTGCATCACCATTGCGCACCGTCTGGCCACAATAAGGAACGCGGACGTGATCTGCGTGCTGGAGAAGGGAACCGTCGCCGAGATGGGTACTCACGACGATCTAATAGCGGCGGACGGCCTCTACGCTCATCTCCACGCTCTCCAAGAGGCCGCGATGGAGTAAAGCCGCCGGGGGCGGACGAGGCCGCGTCTCCAGGACGTTTCTCGGGCCGGCGGACACGCCGGAAACGAGCCAACGAGTCCGGCCGGCAGCCGCCGAACGGATCGAGAAGAGTGAAACGCGTATTACTCGGAAACAGTCGAACATCCAGCGAGAAAGTCGAAGCTGCGGGGGTCGAACATGTTCCTCGAGTGCTTATTCTCCGGCTCTCCTTTGACACTGTTCCGTCTCGCGGGCTGGACACGGCAGATCCTCGCGATTTTTCTTCGTCTGCTCGTTTTCACGAGGCTCCTTTGACGAACGCTTTCAGAAAGGAACAGTCGAGCTGCTGCGCAATAAAATGCAATTACCGGCGATCGAACGGATCTTTCTGGTCGGTTTCTACGAGCGGAGAGAGTTCGGAATTTCAGTTCGAAATTCGATACGAATATTCATTTTTACTTGTTTATCTAGGAACTGAAGTTTAATCATTTGCGGACGAAGACTCTTTGAAATATAGAAAACCGTCGGCAGATGAAGCTAAATTAGATATCGATTGCTTAGATAATTTGGGAAACTACACACTGATCTGCTATTTAGTAAATCACTTGTTTGCGACTTCGCAAATATGAACATCTCTCGCCAAAATGTCGACGTTCGTCCGCAAAGGGTTAGTCTCGATTCGTTAATACGGAAACATTTAAGAGATTCGAAGAGTTCGGTTTATCTTCGTTTTCTCGATTTTCGAGAAACGCAGGAACGATCCGCGATTCGCTTGTAATATTCACAGCAGTCACTGTATGAACTTCCTGTTGGATTTTATTGTGCAGCCTCAGACCTGCCGCGCAGCGAACTCGAATCCCATTAGCAGTCCCCGTTGTTTTCGTTCGTTTTGTAGACGTGGACGGAACTCACCTCCCCGCAGGCCAATTTCCGTTCCGAAACCGGAAACTGTTGGCTCGCCCGGCCATCGAAGCCGCAAATCCTGTCGGCGACACGTCGAATCGTTATCCGCTTCCCTCGCCCCCCCTTCCCGACAACTTTCACGCGGCCGATACGCGGCCCCGCTCGTCCCGAACGAGAAAACGTGTCGCTTTCTGCTCCGAATGGACACCGCCGCGCGCGTCTCGCTTGCACCGGGACCTCTGTCCGCGACGCCGGTTTTCACGGTTCGCAGTTTTACACGATCCCCGCGTTCCGCCGATCTTGTCGATTATTTTCGATCGACTCGCCGCCGAGAACACGGCGCTGTCGCGAGTGAATACCTCGGTGATGCTGGAGTGACGTCTCGCTGAAAGGGATATCAGTGCGCGGATATGCGACGGGTGAAACGCAACGATGGAAGATTTTCACGGATTTTCGAAGCATCTCTTAAGAATATTATTATATTCAAGATTGATATTTCATCGCAGAATTTCGCGTTGCAGAGTTCTCTAACACTAAAATTACCAAGCAGATAAATTGACATTTTGAAATTTGTGTATAGAAACTATGACAGTGCGGCTATTGAAATTTTAAATGATTTAAAATTCAGTTATTACTAAAATAATTTCTCTAGTAATTTCTCAGAAAAACATTTATCTTTTTAATAATTGCAAGAGGAAGGAATCAGGGGTCATTTTGACCCGTCTGGTAGTTTTAGTGTTATACATTTCTCCATTATGCCGGATAAGAGTTTCAGAAATTTATCAAAGTGTCGATAGATAAAGAGAGCAATTCGAGCGACAGTATTCTAAACAGCAGCTTCATTCGCGAAACGCGGGTCTAAAAATCGAGAATCCCCGAATCGTGAAAGTGGCTAGTTCAAGATCGAAATCCCGGCCGTCTCAATTGCCGAAGGTGCAAGCGGATTATACTTCCGGCAGATGTCCATAACCTCTATATTCTACACCCGAGAAATCTACCGTTTCCCTGGTAACTGCCCTAACACTCGACAGACGTACAACCTTTGCCCTGTTCACCCCTAGCCTTCGACTTCTCGTTGCCACGAAGCTTCCGGATCCTAAGAAATCCGATGGATCCATCGCGTGGATCGTAAATCCCTCGTTGCTCGTGCCTTAACGATTTGCGTGCTTCGCGAACGAAGACGTGGGAGAAACGATCAAAATCAAGACGAGGAGAAAGATGAATATAATTAATCTCGAGGTCACCTTGAGATTAACGCGTTCCTCGCAAGCATGCGACGTTGCCAGCGAACGTGTTGCTATATTAGGAAGGCCAGGAAGTCTTGCATCTTTATATAATCTCTAAATAATCTTTAATATTCGAAGAACGATTTCGCTATATTGAATAATACCTCGGTAAATACATTACCTACTTCATTAGAGACTTCTCCATTATCGTTCGGTTTACTTATTCCCGATACTTACTCGTGCATCGCAATGCGAGCAGATCGAAGTACGAAAGAATAAGACTGTTTGGCCAGCCTAATGTATTGATTATATAATAAAAACGAGAACAAGCTGTAAGATAAACCGAGGAACGTTCGGGAGGTACGCGCGGCGACGTCGGACTCGGAATTTCAAATGATCGGATCCGAGCGCCGGCGATCCGTCGGGATCGAGAGCAGAGAATGTCGCTGGAGGACGGAGGCGCGTCGGCCGCGAGCGCGAAAACGTTCGCGGAACTGTTCCCGGGAAACTGATCCGCGGCCGGGGGCCGGATTTCCGTTTCCGAGCTCCGCGACAGATTCTTTCCCCGAACTTTGTGCCTTCACTTCGTACACTTTAGCCGTAAGATTGCCCGCGATGTGCTCGAGGCTTATCAGCTTGAACGGTGAGATGCTTGACAGTTTTAGCGTTTCGTAGAGCCTTTCTTCGACCTCCCTAACGGTTATTGTATCATGGTGTCCAATCGGCTCGCTGGTTTTTCTTTCGAATTTCCTCCCGATCTTGTCTTCTTTAGAAATGAATATTATCGTTTTATTTTATATGGGTTAATAGTGGCTTCTTAACATCCGAAAATGTTCGATTCGAGAATTGAGCTAAGACGAGAGATCACATGGAGAATCCGTGGGAAACCAGTGGAACTTATTGGACTACCTTCATTCTGGAATCCTATTGCACTCCGAGGATTTTGTTTTAAATATTTTCTATTTCGACAGATTTCCATTGCCCCTTAGATCGAGAATGATCGTTAGTATCGTTGATGGACTGCGGGTTTCGTGTATTCGTTTTGGTTTATTAGCACTAGAACTACCGGGTGCATCAATTCCTAGCTTCTTCTTCTAGAATTACTGAAAAACTACAGATACTCCTTTCAGAAATCATTAGAAACTGGTTTAAGTGCTCGGATAAAATTGGAAAGGAGGTAAAATCATCCTTTGTAGCTCTTGAATGACTCCAGCGAGTCACTTCTAATATTTCAGAATATCAACACTAAAACTACCGAGCAATTAGAGTGACTCATTTCTAAGTTTCTATAAAAATCAACAATATTTTACAATTCTTCACAAAAGCCTCATAATTTCAATACTTACTAAACATTCTAAAATAAATCCATTTGATCCGTCTGGTAGCGTTAGTGTGAAATTCTAAGTTTCTATACAATTCTCTACAAATCAACACGCAAAAGCGTACACAAAGATCCGCAGTCCAGTCATCGAGGATCGCTTGCAAGCACGAGCGTCTTTCTTTCACTGTACTTAAACCGCCTCGAGACGCGATCCCGGAGAAGGCCTCGATCGTCTCCGGCTCGATCGTCGATCGAGCCGTGAATCCATTTAGCGCTTTGTACCGCCGACGACAATACAATGTAGCCGTAGACCCCCCTTGATCCAGGAACAAGCGTTCGCGACCGGTAGCGTTTTACCGTTTGCTAATCGTAGAATTAAGTGCCCAGAAGACGGTCGACCGTGTCGCTCCCGTTCACCCGGTAGATCACGGTCGCCGTCCGTTTTTCTTGCGTACTTATCGCGACACCCGGAGCGACTCAAACACAGAGAAAAAGAGAACGAACAAGTACAATCGTCACCCGCGACGAACAAACGCTGCGCCGACACTAGAACTACCGAGTATTTAATATAATTAACATGTAACTCTTATACAGATTATAAAAGTCTATTTTTTCTTAACTTCTGCTGATATTCATTGCCAGGCTGCGGATCTTCATGCATCCATGGGAGACTCGAAGCTAAAATTCTGTATTACAATTCTATGTTTCTCGCGAGAAATCATTGCCCAGTGGAACCTCGTTCCTCTAATTAATTGAAGCTTGAATTTGCGTGAAGATCTGCAATCTATTCGTTACACTAGGTAAGTGAAATTATTCTCCAAATAATCTCGTGCGATCGCGGATTAGGAAGATCGAGATTCGTCTTGAACCGGCACGGTAGTTCCAGTGTTGAACGCGCGTCGCTCCTCTGTTGGTTCCATCATCTTCTTCCCTCCTGTTCCCGTGAACGGTGAACTCGCGATTTTCCAACGGAGCGTCCCCCCACTTGCTTGCGATTTTCCTAGCGTCGCGTGACTCGGCCCGCGTAGATCGGCCCGAGTCGCTTCGGATCCATTACTTACATTGCGTACCGTAGATGTTAATCGCTCGAGCCGGAAATTGTACTCGCGACTTAGTCGAGCGGAAGAGGAAACGCGCCGCGACTCGTCGGACGCGAGGAGTTTCGAATCGGACGCGTCCTTCTTCTTTTATTTTCTTTTCTTTTTTTTTTCTTTTGGTGAACAAGTAGCGGTTAAAAGAATAGTTTTCGAGACACGGTTACTTAAACTGTAAGGCTGCGGCCACGGTAACTTAAGGGCAGAGATCTTAAGCCGATCGCTCGGCTCGGTCGTTCGTGACTGAACGCATCGCGTACCGGGAACGGGGAGCCTCGTTTTCATGTAGATACATGACCAAGTGACTTCGGAGTAAATAGGTAACATTTAAGTGGTACGTTTTAAGCATTCGGTTTAGATGATAGTGTAAAGCAATGACGAGTGTACGCGTCGAACGTAGAGCGAATGCAGCTGATAGAACATTGAAATAAAAAGGATAAAGCAAAATCAAGGAGGCATGTTTATTTGAGAGAGTAGCGAATAATCATTGAGAATATTAGTATTATCTTGGGTGTCGAGGTGACGGGTATACTCGTGAAATGGTCAACTGATTCAGATCAAAACAGAATCCACTGTTTAGAATCTATCGAACGATAGGTGTTCGACTTTCACGTGCAACGATAGAATTCTGCATCGAGAATCGCAGTTTTCCGAGGAACAGCCGGTACGCTATGCGTCGCAACCGATCGAGAACGACGAAGCGCTGCGTTCAACTTGATTCATCCGTTTCTTCTGTTCTTCGAACATTATCGTGTCGAGTTGTAATTGTGCAGCGATACTAGGCGAGTATCACGACAAAGATCAAGTATTAATTTCTTTTTCGTTTTTCCCTTGTTGCGAGAGAGAGAGAGAGTGAGTGATTGCGAGAGAGTGAGAGGAAGAGAGGAAGAGAGAGAGGGAGAGAGAGACCGAGCAGACCGTACTGCTGTCATATACAAAATAAA